ATGATCATGTTGTAATGAGGTCATGTGACTGAATGATCATGTTGTAATGAGGTCATGTGACTGAATGATCACGTTGTAATGAGGTCATGTGACTGAATGATCACGTTGTAATGAAGTCATGTGAATGTAAGCTCAAGGAGAGCTTCTAGATCAGCTCGAACATTCTAGAATGGGGAAGGTATATCTACGGGGGAAAATTGGATGATTGTAGAAACATACTTAAAAGCCAGTGGTCTGCTGGCCCAGTGTGGGTGCTCAATGAGTATTGGAAGTGAAATCAAAGAGGGAGGACAGCTTGCTTGGGTCTTAGGGCAATGCCACGCCCATATTCAAAGGCAAGGACAGTTGCTAGAAAATACCAGAAGATTCTAAGCAACACATGGCCTTGAACTTGTTGTGCAACATCACAATGCTATCTTCCATGAAGGTCGAAAATAAGGAATTGGTGCTTTATACTTTCTCTTTCATAGCTAGGATCACCTTTTACCTACAGATGAAGTTACCATTCTCCAAGAATTTGAAGGCTGGCCCAGGTGTGGGTAGTTTGTGGGTCTGCTCTTGTTTTATTCATATCATGACTTGGTCATGTGTGTGAAAACCGAGATTTTTAAAGTAAAAAAAAAAAAAAAAAAACTACCCAGTTCATGAGCCTGACTAGGAGTAGAGTAGCTGGTTGCCAAACTTTCAAGGAAAGAAACACATGGGGAGAAAGAAGCCTTGCCATTTAGGAGCTATTTTCCTGGCATATCTGATTAAAGTGTATGCAAGCCCAGCAGCTCTCTCCAGCCATCAACTGTCACGAACTTGTTCCAATTCGTAACCATCTGGGGTTTTCCACTGGTCTGTCAGCCTTCAAAAGACTGGGTTAACTGCTTGCATTCAGACGGGTGGTTGGAAATGGTTTGTTAATCGTTCTTAATCTACTTCCCCTGAAACCAAACACACATGGTGATTTTAGTTTGTTCCTGATTGAATTGTTAATGGTGTTAAATTGGCCATTGGAAACCAAACTCTGTAGCCATTTCCCTTATGGCTCCTTGGGACTATCTCACACTGTGGTCTTTCTTGAGAGCATGATGGATTGAATCTTTCTCAACGGTTGTGCTAACTTTTTACAGATGCCATCCCGCCCACTTTCTACAGACCCTACTTCAGAATTGTCCGCTTTGATGTCTCAACAATGGAGAAAAATGCTTCGAATCTGGTGAAGGCGGAGTTCAGGGTCTTTCGATTGCAGAACCCCAAAGCCAGAGTGGCTGAACAACGGATTGAACTGTATCAGGTAACCTGTGCTGCGGGTGTGTTAGTGAGTGAGACACTCTCTACTCTTATGATTTTCTTCCATACTCTTTCATGATGGGATGCTTTGTTGTCACTCTCACCAAAACAGCTGGTCCGTCTTCACTCTGCAAGGAAGAGACATAGAACAGAGTACCAACCCTGCAGACCCTGGAGTACTCACCTTAGGAGACTCTAGTGCACAGGTCAGGCCTATGGCCTGGAAAGCCAAATTACACAGACCACCTCAATCAGGAAAGCTGAATGGGGTCTCCTTCTTTCTCCTTTAATCTACTCTTTTTCCTCATTTCCTTTCTACCTCTGCCATTCCTCCTCATTTCCTGTTTTTTATAATCTGCCTTGTCTCTGCTTCCTGTTTCTTTTCCCTCTCCCACAACCAATCCCTCAATGGACTAGCCCACATGTGCAGATTCTGTTCTACATTGTGCCAGCTGCCCTGACATCTCATCTTGTCAGTAGAGCTGGTGGGTGGCTATTTAAAACACAAATGAAGAATGAGGTCCCTAAGATTTCAGACACAGACTATGAATCAAGTAATTTGGGAAGCTTGTGGGGCTGAGGTTTGAGTCTCCTAGGATCTATGTGAAATGCAAACACTCATTTTCTACCTGTCCCATTTTAAAGAGGTCCTCTCTGGGTGTACATATTAAGCTACTTTATTCGGTTCTTATACCTCAACCTCCCTTCCAACTCTTATTGCACCCTAATCCCTCCCAACTCCCTAACACTAGGTAGGAGAGAAAAAAGGATAGAAGGGAAAGAGGGCACAGACCTCTCTAGGCTACTTCCAGGGCATAATGTTCCTTGGGGCAAGGCTAGTCTTGTCAGAATATCCAGCAAACCATCAAGCCAGCAATAGCACATGCAACAACAGGGACCAACAGGGACCAGCAGCGTGATAAGGGAGCAGGGATGGGGGTGTGGATAGGAGCAGCAGTGGGAAACAGAAACTGTCGTGCCCTCTTGGAGCTCTCCTGTTTATGATCTCTCTAGAACGCCCAGAATTAAATTATCTGCAGCTGGCAAAAAACACACCCCTGCTAGTGCATGAGGCAAGTCACAATCACCTACTGTGAAGCATCCTAGTATCCTACACCTGGGATTAAAACAAAAACATATTCACATAACATAACTGGGTTTTCTAAGAAACCAAAATTTCATCACAGTCTTCAGGTAATCTGTGTGTACCATGAAGCTGTTCTTTAAAACCCTGCATCTGGTGAGGAAGGCAGATGTACAGACACAGAGCTTAAATGTCACCATGTCATGTGAACAGCATGTGTGTGTGTAGAAGGCAGAGAGAGACTAGGAGCTCTCATCAAGGCATTGGTGCTCAAATGAGGCTTCCAAAAACATCTTAAAGTATATTAAAACAAGGTGAGGGCTCATTCTGATGGCAGTGTGGTGACAGGCATGCCAATATGTTGTATGCCTTTATTTGTGCAGTGTTGGGAATCAGGCTCAGTGCCTTGTGTATGTTGGGCAACCACTCTACCACTCAGCTAAACCATCAGTTCTGTCTTAGTTAGGGTTTTACTGCTGTGAACAGACACCATGACCAAGGCAACTCTTGTAAGGACAACATTTAATTGGGGCTGGCTTACAGGTCAGCCATTCAGTTTATTATCATCAAGGTGGGAGCAGGGCAACATGCACATGGTGCAGGAGAAGTTGAGAGTTCTACATCTTTATCTGAAGGCTGCTACCCGAATACTGACTTCCAGGCAGCTAGGATGAGAGTGTTAAAGCCCACACCCACAGTGACACACCTACAACAACAACGCCACACCTATTCCAACAGGTCCAAACCTTCTAATAGTGTCACTCTCTGGGCTGAACATATACAAACCATAACAAGCTCCAAACATCCGAGTCTTGGTGGACTTATTGTGTGTACCCAGGATAAAGTGTTCCATGTCTGGAAGTAAGAAAAAGACCAGGAGAAGATGGCCTCCAAGCAGAGTATAACAGAGAGAGACTAAAGGAGATTAAGAACAGACCCTAGTTCACCCTAGTTTAGGCAGTGTGGTTCACAGGTAGGTTTATTTGAAGAAAAAAAAAAAGCAATTGACATTTATATGCAGAAACCTCATTATTCTGGGTTTAATTATTTGAAAAATTGGATAATCAAGATTAGGATTTTCCTCATTCATCATGAAAATGGGAAATTACAATACACAAACCTGCTATATGTGAGTTCATGAGACTATGTGAATAACTCTTAAGTAGGGCCCAGGAAGTACTTGTGGAGTGTACATGTAAAGCATTTTCTTATTTGCTAGGATGGATCCTTTGTTAGAATAGGTGTTTGAGTCTTCACAAATGTTCTGAGAGCACACTGTGGACAACTCATACCCCGTAGACACTGCTGCGCCTGCCAAGCCTCAGAGCAGTGTGTGTCTTTGTCTACTGTCTACTGTGTTGTGGCCACTTCAGGAGAGATATGTCACGTGACTCCTCTCCACTGTGACACTTGCTTTCTCTGGTATTATTTCTGCCTTCTCCTTTCTCCATCTTATAGAGAAAGATGCTAAGTTGAATCTCAAAGAGACTGAGTAATTGGTCACAGCTACAAGGGTAGGAAATGGCAGGCAAAGACAGGAGTCTGTCTCTGACTTACAAGGCTTCTGGTGTAGTATTAATTACTAATTAATCCTGGCACAGGGTTGCTACCAACCTCAATGGTTTGTGTTCCCGAATGAAAGACACACACCACAGCCTTTATATTTTAATATATCCTAAACAACACAATTGCTGGGCAACTGGCTAGGCTCCATGCTGCTAGAATCTACTTCCTGCCAATAATAATAAATACTAATTTCTATGTTCCTTCTTGGTTTCTCTGGACCCATTTGTGCAGCCCTCTGGGTCCTGCTGTCTTGGTCAAAAACCTAGGGCGCTCTCCTAGAGTAAGTTAATAATCTATCCTTATAGCTCTAATTTCTTATAATATTACTCAATCCCCCCCCTTTTTTTCCTTCAACTCCCTTCCCTTTACCTAAGAAAGAAAGGTTAGAGACGAGAAAAGATAGAAATCTCAGAATCTAAGCTCTCTATTTGGCTCCTCACTGTCCAAAATTATGACCATTTTCAAATATCACTTACAATGACAATGGTCTTTTCTATCTGGTCATAGTAATCTTGAAGAATCTTTTGTCCTGGTTGGATTTTTGTTTGTTTGTTTGTTTGTTTGTTTTGACTTTGTCAAGTTGACACAAGTTAGACTTATCTGAGAAAAGGTGACCACAGTTAAGAAAATGCCTCATAAGATTGGCCTGTGGGAAACCTGTGGTATTTCCTTAATTAGTGATGAGTGTGGGAGGTCCCAGCTCACTTGGGGTGTTACCAACCTTGACCGGGTAGTCCTGGATGATATAAGAAAGCTGTCTGAGCAAGTCATGGAAAGCAAGCAAATAAACAGTGTTTGTCTACAGCCTCTGCCTCAGTTCCTGTCTCCAGGTTCCTGTCCTGAGTTCTTGCCTAGGTTTCCCTCAATGGAGTGTGACCTGGAAGTATAAGATGAAATAAATCCTTTCTTCCTCCAAGTTTCTTTGGATTATGGTTCTTATCACAGGAAAAGAAATCAAGTTAATACACCTTGGTGAGAGCCAGAATAGAAGAGAAGGAAAATAAAGGAAACTTGCCCAGAGAGTAGAGAATTGGAAAGTCAACAAATTCTGTCATTTATGAAGAGAAGAAAGGTAGTCAAAGGTATTAGAAAAATTTCAGTGTGACTCATGGAAACAAATATGTTTGCATTCTTAGTATCTCCTTTCCTCTTTAATTATTTTCAATTAAATCACTCTAACATTCTGCAATGCTGAGTATAGAACCCTGGACCATTCTCTTTGATGCTCTTTTGGAATATAGCTTCAGCCAAGTGAAGTTGAGCTCTCTGTTGTCTTGTTGCCTTCAGTGCAAGGTGCTGAGCTGACTTCTGTCAGTAGGCTTGCTGAAGACTCCTTTTTTATCCCAGAAGCCATCACCTCTAGGAAGGGGCATGTCCATGAGGCTGGTCATGTGGAAGAATTTCTAAGTTCTTGATGGGTATGTCCCTTCTCAGAGATTGCACAGCATTGGCTGCCCATGATGTGAACAACAGATACAGATAGATGAAAGTCTCTTGGATAGAAGAGAACTGCTCAAGAAGGGAACCTTTCACTTGGGAGGATTGTGAGAAAGTCCTGTGGTCTGTATACTGTCACTGTACATGGGAACCACAAAGAAGACATTTTTAGCAAAATGTAAGGAACAATAGCAGCTCCTAACTGTCCGGAACTCAACGCTCTTGTCTCCCCAAACTACCAAGACCCAGATAGAAAATCAAAGAGACTCAGAATGTCAATAGGAATACAAATCCCCCTACACCTAGCTCATCAAAAGGTGGCTTGTCCTTATCCGTCATTCATTTGGATCATTAACTGTTAGTTAAGAACATACGTGAGAAGCATAAAGTTAGACAAGGAGGAACATGGAAGATGCCCCAGCAGCAATGATGTACCTTTTGAGATTTTTACCAATGTAACAGAATGACGCTGGCCAGAAACCCAGCCATGAAAGCAAGGTCTTTGGAGGACCATTTACTTAATAATACCCTCTATAAAGTCCACCTATATTTTATCCCTTTCACTCCCGAGCTGTCCTCTGATGTCTGCTTCTGACACCTTTATTGGAAGCTCCATTTTTTCTTGTTTGCTTATCAGCTTTCCATTTTAGTTGTCACTGAGGTAGAAAGGCTGGTACTGTTTTTGCAGACTTTGATTGTATAATTTTTAGCCCAGCACAGAAATGGATGCTTATAATGGTCTTGAATTGTAGAGGCTAAGTTACAAGAACAGAATTGAACACCTATAGTAGATTGATGAGTTTTATATCCTAACTCATTCAAAATATTATGTTGGAAAAAAAATAAATGGTTTTGCTCTTAAATGGGAAAATCTTAAACTATTTGGAAAATTCGGTTGTTCAAAAGAGCAAGTCCCT